TACTCTTTAAAATACCAACCTCTTCCTCAGCAAAGAAAAACCCCCAGCAAGGACTTGGCATTGTTTCATTTACAGGCTTGTCATGGTTTAATAATTTTCTTGGAAGTTTCCTGGAAATTACTCTATTGTAGGGTTGCCAACCGTCCCTTAAAATACGGAATCGTCCCGTATTTCGAAACAAAAGTACACGTCCCGTATTGAGCTAATAAGGGACGCACTTTGTCCCGTAATACAGTGAGAATCAAAAGTAGTCTATAAATGTTAATGGAATTAACGCTTTGTTTGAAAACATAATTCCCAGCCCCTCTCCTGCTTTGTGACCAATGAGCTGACACCACACTTATGACGAGTATGACAATTCAGATTACCGCTCATCTCATTGGTCGAGGAAAGGTCGCTTACGGAGAAAATACCGGAAGACAACAGATGACCACAACAAGAAGCATGGCCAACAGGGAAACAAACGCCGGCACTGCGGTGCAAGTCTCGGACGACAGTACACCTAAAGCTGGGCAGACACTGTGCGATTTTTTCAGTCACGTTATTCAGCTCCTGCTCAAACTGCACAATTGACTCGCAGGGGTTAGAAGTTGGTAGGTCACGATGCAGGTCTCACACTATACCGCCCGATGCTCTGATGCGACCTGAGTGCTCACACTGTGCCTCCATAAAATGAAGGTTATAACAGAAAATCTGTCGCGCTCTCCCTCTGTCTTTCACTCACACAGACACACCACTACCATCAACTTTGCTAAATTGCTAATGAAAAACATTGATCAGGCAGCTGTGATTGAGCAGCAATGTAAATCCAACTATTTTCATGGTTGTTGTGGTCGTGATAATTTTGTGAGGCCACATCGAAAAGGCTCGGATGAGCTTTCCAAAGTTCTACAAGTTGTGCCTCCATCGCTTGTGTCCAGATCACACGCTGCACAGCCGTGCTGCTCCATCTTTTACATCAACGTTTACGTGTTTGCGCGCGAGCAGTGTGAGCGGCTGTGATGAGACCCTCACGAGCGATTGATGATCGGGAGCTGGTCGTGAGGTGTTAATCGCTTCTCGTTACCCCACGTATACTACACGACGCACGATGAAGATCACTCAAAAATTGGCTCAAAATGGGCCTAAAACCGCACAGTGTAAGCCCAGCATTAGAGCAGCAATGTTTGTTCCCCCTCAGAGAAAGGGAAGAATGGGAAAAGGAAAACACCTGGCTGGAAAAAGTTAATATGGGCATGTGCAGTGAATATCAGCGCTATGTGGCCAGAAGTGTGATAATATAATTTATTTTGTGTAATAAACAACTGCAAGGATAGATGATTACAAATAGATGACTAATACATAAAAGTAATACACAGATGAATAATGATGATGAGTTAAGATGCGTAATCATGGGAACAAGCGGGTTTACAAACAGGAGCAGCTGATTAGCATTAGAAAAGCTGAAATAATACCTCAACTGAAGCCAATTGTACTAAATGCACTAAATGTGCACTGTTACAAGAATGTTTTTCTTTCTATTGTTTTCTATTATTTTAAGTTAAGCAGGACAGAGTTCTTTTAAAGAAAGATTTACTTATATTCTCAAAAGTTAAGCATGACAGGCTTCTGTTTAAGAAGGAGACCTGTTTTATTGTGTTAATGTTGTCATTTTGAGCTAAAAATAAATGGCTAAATGATCATTTGTTTCACATGTGTTCATATCACAAAGAATAAACATCTACTTAAATCAAATTCAAGTCAAATGGTTAAAAAAAATAATTTCACACACAAAAAAAGAGCTAGAAAATTCACCACACTGGGAAGGGTGAAGACAACTGGGTCGCCCGGCCCTGGCCACGAGGTGTCCCTTATTTATTTTTCAGGGAGTTGGCAACCCTACTCTATTGGTACCAGTTATGGGTGTAATGGAAAACATGCGAACAGTGATTCCTGTTATATTACCTTTCAGCAATCATTATCATCACAATGATCTTCAGTTCTCTCTTATGTTGCTGATTTACTCTGGCAAAACCATGAGCATGTATTCCCCAGTAAAAGCTATAATATTTCCATTAAGTCTTTTTACCGAACACTGTGTTGTGCGAAAACTTTAATTTCAACATTCAGCTGAAAAATTAACCTTTGAAAGAAATAACTGAACCATGCTCTTGCAAGGCTTGGATGCCTTATAAGTCACTGTTTCTGTGTGTTAATAAGTGAGCGAGTGACAGATACGGATATTAACAGTGCTCTGTAGAGGATTGCAGGACAACTGCAAGGCATAATAATGTTGGGGGGTTGGGTTTTTTGTTAAAATTTAGGTGAAATCATGGGTCTGTAACAGACTCTGAGTGGCTGCTAATAGAGAAAAGCCATAGGCACAAACACAAACTCCATCAGCATGGCTGGTTAAAGTGACAGGAAGCCATAGTGCACATTGCAAACTCATTATCCATTAAATGTAGGCTAATGAAGTTAAATAGCTAAAGGGAGAGAGATAGAGTAGTAAAACAGTTTGTGTTGTATCTGTTGGGTTTCTCAGATTTTTATGCAGTACAATATGTGGTTTAAGTATAATATTACAGAAGATTAAATGCATATTGATATCAAAATCAGGCCTATTGAGGGAGTTTTGGAGATTTGCAAAGCGTATTTATTGCTGCAGTTAGTGTTTTAACACCAACTTCAATTTTATGAAGCTAACAAATCAAATATAATGTTTTCTTTTCTTTTCATATTTAGTTGTTTTATTTTATTTATTGTTTTATTTGCTTATCAGAATTGTTTGTGGCTGTCCCAAAGTTATGAATGCTACTATTTAAAGTAGCACATATTTTCTTAATAAAATCTGAGTGAGTATTTTTAGCTAATCAGAATTAGCAGGTCAATAGTTTTATAGCTAAAGCTAGCTAATGTCCTTCTTTGATAATATTTTTTCTAGCATTAAGTAGAAGAAAAATTGAAAACATAGTGCATGAAGGAATAAAACGGAAAATGTTGGATATTAAAGGTTTTCTACGTGAGACGTTTTCAGCTAACCGGGATAAATAGATCTTGAATTTGTTAATCCTAGCTAACATTAGCATACTTTAGCTAATATCTAGCCAGTCTACTATAGGAGAGGAAACATGTGAAAAGAATGATGATACGCAATTGAGGATGGTATATTTTATAAAATAAAAAGTGTTTATTTGACTAAACTTTTTTCTGTCTCTAACATTGATACATATATAGATGGGCAAATGAGTATATTTCAAATATCTTCACATTTAAATTGATCCATCCTTATAAGATGAAGTAAATGAGTACAGTGAGAACAAGGTGAATTGTGGTTTAAAATTGGAAACCTTTCAAAAAATCAGAACCATTTGAGTCTCAAACTCCTGAAAGGGTTATTAGTTCACCTGTTCAGCTTCTCTTTAATCAGCTATCTAATCGGCCAATCACATAGTAGCAACACAATGCACTAAGGCAACTGCTACCTGCTGATGCTCAAACCAGGCTTTAGAAAGGAGAAGAAAGATGATTTAAGTGACTTTGAAGATGTCGTGTCTGTTGGTGCCAAACGGGCTGGACTGAGTATTTGAGAAGCTGTTGAAATAGAGTTCAAACAGAAAATGTCTGAAAAAGATAAAATCCAGTGAACAGCAGTTCTCTGGGCAAAAATGCCTTGTTGATCTCAGAGATCAGAGGGTAACTGGCTTGACTACTTTGAGCTGATAGGAAGGTAAGAGTAACTGAAATAGCCTAACCACTTATCACAAAGTCTGAAACTTTGAAGCAGATGAGCTACAGCAGCAGAAGACCACACAGGGTGCCACTTCAGGAAAGGAAACTGAAGCTACAACTAACACAAAATCACCAAAATTGCACAACATCAGAGTGGAAAAATCCTTCTGATGGGCCCGATTTCTGTTGCGGCATTCAGATGTTATAGTCAGGATTTGCTGTAAACAACATGAAAGCATGGATCCTGCCTTTTAGTTCGAGCTGTTGGTAGTGTTATAATGTAGGGGAGATACCTTATTCCTTCATAACAACTGAGCATTGTTTGAATTCCACAACACAACTGAGGTTGAAACAGAAACTGAAGATCTGACAGAAAATCTTAGTCATGACACGTTTTATCATTTTATAAAATAAGTTAGGAATTTCTACAAGGACGATTATGTAGTTATGCAGTACAAAGGGTTAATGTATTTGAAGCAGATATTCAAATATTCAAAACTTCCATCTAATTTCCATCGAAAAACAAATACTACTGCAACCATGTTTGGAGCTCTACACATTAGGGAAGAAGAAATTGTTTCTAAGGTTCCTATTTCTATTGTTTGCTCGACAGAAGTGGACACACAGGGAGGTCCAGAGTTTGCCCTTGAGGAGTCACCCAGTTTTCATTTACACCTGAACCGGTCCTTCTGGATGCCAACATGCATTCCAGCGCTGGGCTTCTTTCGTAGCCCTGCCTATTTAAGTCATCACCAGCACAGAAACAAGGAGCGATTACTACATATCAGATGGCGCTACCTGAAAATGCTGATGTCACTGATAGAGTGTACCTGTTCATTCAAATCAGTTAAACTTCCCTAAAAGACCTGATGAACAACTGGTTCATTGTTCTCTAAAAAAAAAAAAAAAAAAAATCCAAAACACAAGCCAAAAAATAACCCAACCCCAAAACGGCAAACTTGTACCTATAGTGCTGAAAACCTGCATGTTTCTTTCATTTATCCACATAAATATCATGTAGGACTGTTGCAACTGTTTTACCTCTTTGGTCAGCAAAATAACTGACAGTATTTCCCAAAGCATATGTAGATGGATCATAGACTTGTGGTGGAGTTTGTGTGAAGCTCAGCAAAAGGAAATAACTGGATATTTGGGAGATCTTTTGCATTAAATGCTTCAAGCCGCTTAGATTAAAATCTCCATATCTTCTGGGATTCCTCCACCTTCTATTTAGACCCCTTATCTTGTGGGCTCCCCCACACCCCTGACTTAATCACATGCACCCTCACCTGCACAGGTGAGACCATTCTCGAAGATGTACTCGAAGCACAAATCACACCAGTTGCTCTCCCCTCCGGGTTCGAAGGCGTGTCCCTCTCCGGTCTCCTCCTTCACCCTGGGGTCCTTGTCCTCGGGGGAGAAAATGGTCTTCACATGTGGTTTGGATGCCTTCTTCCTCCCACGGGGTGGCCCCCCTTCGTGTCCCTCCATCCCGTTCCCAGAAGCTTCTGCCCCGTCTCTCCCCTCAGGTCCACAGTTCGACAGCTTTCTGTCGCTCCACATCCTCTCCAGACTGGACGGCTGAGGAGACGCCTGCCGCCGGACAGCCCTCACCACCGCCGCGCCCTTGTTGGCCTTGGAGATCCGCATCTTGGCGCCCGTCTGCGGCCACGTTCCCTCGTTCAGCGTGTCGTGGTGTTTGCTGACATGGACAGCCTGCAGGGCCAGCGGACAGTCATCTGTGACCGATGAGCGCGGGGGGGCGTATTTCCGAGCGTGATGTTTAATCATTACGCACACTTTTCATAGTCCGCCGCTGCGTGGAAGTGTATTCGCCAGAGTCACACAGGTGATGTCTTGTTATGTCTGACGATGACACCGTCGATAACGTGCTCGCAGTCGGAGAGCAGGTTGAGGCGGTCGGAGGTGTGCTGGAGAACGGGTTGGATCTCATTTCACTGGGAGACATGAAACACAGGCGCTCCAGGAAGGACTGCGTCCCAGACTTCGTTTACAGACATGCAAATTTAAGCTTTCTTTCTCGTTATCATCACACATCTCCCTCCCAAGCAAGACCTAAACAACTTATCCAGTTTCTCCGGTTGGCCCTTTAATTCGTACCTGATAAAACTTGTTTTTGAACTGCCTGTTGCCTCCTCTGTCAGATAATTTTCTCCACAATGCAAACCAAATATGTCTGCAAGTACTCTGAGCGTAACCATTTAAAATCGGGGGAAATATAAACAAATCAATATGTGTGTCAAACTGCTGCTGCATCACTCTGTAGTCCCTCTTTTAACCACAGGATGGTGCCATTCCACTCAGTGAACAAAGATCAGGTGTCCGCAGGTAGAGGACAAAGAAAATGTTTATTGGCAGCGGAACATTGGTAAGATAGGGTCATATCAAAGGCCAGACATCTGGATTTTGTTTTTTGTTTAACTGAATACATAAAACATGTTCTGGACTTCTTTACTACACACTGAGTGGCTGAATCCCAACAACCATAACATTTTCATATATTCTAGCTTTAAAAAAATAATCACACAACTTGTGCATGTAACTCTTGAACTGCAAACATGTTTTCTTTCTTTAGCAATTTTTTTGCTAAGCTTTATTAAAACTAGCTGCCCTGGGGCAGACTGACAGAAGCGAGGCTGCCATATCGCGCCATCGGCCCTTCTGGCCAACACCAGTAGGCGGTAGGTGAAGTGTCTTGCCCAAGGACACTTTTAACTGAATTTCTTTGTAGTAGTTTAATTTTTTTTTCTTCACACCCAGTGAGCAAAAGCCAGACTTTAGTAAAGCGTCCAATTTATGGAAGCTTGCTTCGACTGTCCACAAGCCTGTTTCAAGTTCCTTATCTCATATTTGAGAAGTAGAAATCTTGATATGCCTTTTTATTTTGAGGTCATGGCTTTTGACATGAATATTAATAAAAGGCTTTTTTAAATTTATGGTCATTTGGGTTTTGGTGAACTATAAATATGCACATTAAAGTGACCAGGAAGCACTTAATACAAACAAAGACTGCTTTTAATTAACCTGAGCTTTTTTTCCCCCCCTCCATAGTCATATTCCCTTTACATACTGAAAATCTGTTACAGGGCACAGAAACAAACTTTCTTTGGCTGCTGCTTTTCCCCCGGATAAGCAGGGGCCTTTCTTCACATGTTTAACAGATATTTACTTCCATACGAAAACGCCACAGGGATCCGTGTCTCCTCCTGAGTTCTTTTTGTGTGTGCAAATATTAGAAACAATAGTAAACAACATTAGAAACACATGAATGCTTTGTCACTGCTGTTCAATTTGTTTGGGGGCTTTTTTGGGGGGGGGGGGGGGTTTAAGGGAAAAGTGCAAGTGCTTCATTATTCAACTTTTTAAATTCAATGTGATGGTCCATCAGATCACAAGAAAAAAAAAAAAGAAAAGAAAAAAATCAGTGCATAAGTTTGCAAAACATGTAATGCATTTATACAAAATTTAAGACATGTAAAAAAAACAAGAAATCTCTTATTTAAATCTCACTGAAACTTAAATATAAGAACTATTACATGATCTGTGAGAAATTGGCTCTGATGTTTTGCAGTCTGTAAACTCATTTTTATTCTCTGTACAGTTCCAAGATGTCCTGTTGTGCTGTTAGAGTTCATTGTTAATGTTAGTAGCTCCTGAAGCTACAGTCCGTGCAGGTTTTGGCCAACAGGGGGAGCTGTGGAGCTTGTAAACCACGTCCCTTCTGCTTTCAGTCAACTTCCTCAGTCTCATCAAACGCTGCATCCTGCAAAATAAGCAGATACTTGAGTGTTTTTAAAACTTCAACAGGTCAAGCTAATGGTTTAATTAAGAAGGCTTTTGTTTTAAACGTACATATCCTCCTTGGTCCTGCACCCAGGATGAAAAGTTATTCTGTATGTATTGAGCGCCATGGTTCAGCAGGCGGTTTGTGGGCAACGTTTCCACAGCTGACAGACGAGTGGTGACCTGAAACAAGAAAAACAGATGTCTTCAGAGGTTAGCCAAGACAGTCATGTGAAAATGAGTCAGCAGACCTGCACATGACTCCCAAAACTCAGCAAACAGGTGTCCCTCACACTGCCACACCTGCCCGAGTATACACAGACTCATTTCAAGTTTTTTTTTTTGTTTGTTTGTTTTTGGGGTTTTTTTAAACTGTTTTTATCCTGGAGTGAACCTGATTTATAAGTGAATAGTCTTCTTGCTCCTAGGTTTACTTACTGCTAACTAGGAACTGACCTGTTGATTTTTCAGGGCGTATATCACTTGTTCGTAGTCAAGGATACCGATAAACGATATGTGATTGTTATTGAAACTACAGCAATTTGTGCTACCTGACCACAGCTCCTGCAGCTCACAGCCACTCTTATTTATGCCCGCCGTTAAGGCACAGGAAGCTGCTGTGGAGACAATATCTCCACGTAAGCGCTGATATAGGAGAAGTCTTCGAACAGTTCCAACATCTCCCTCTATATATCTGCATACCTGAGCATCTGTACTGCAATGTCATTAAAATGGCAGTAAAAACTGACAGGATCATACACTTGCACCTTTAACCCAGCTGCGGTGGCCAAATCAAGACGTGCATGTCCAGCCGCCTCGTCACACCAGCGACATGGAAAGCATAAAGGCCCCTTAGAGTTTCCTACTCTGGTAACTCCTCCAGCGTTAGTCTCACTAAGATTCATAGTTTCACTGATAGCTTAAGCCGCTCTTACCTCACACATCACAGCCATCTGGGTTTTTTGAGACGCCTGCGGCCCTGGAGAGTTGGGCGAGGGGCTCCTGAGGCCCACTCGTATCAGGAAGGTGTTTATTAACTTCTTAAAGAAATCGTAATTCCAGAAGAGCTCTGCTGCTATGTTGGCATCTTTCAACACCTGACAAGGCACACACACACACACACACACACACACACACACACACACACACACACACACACACACACACACACACACACACACACACACAGAGAGACAAAACAAAGAACAAAAAACAAATAAAGTTCAGTCACTAAAGATGAAAAAACAAACAAAACACCAACTAAGTAATAATGAAGTTTCTGATTTGGAGGAATGTGAACATATAATTTTTTTAATTATATGTTCACAAATAACGGAAATATCTGTGACCTGCACGTGAGGATGCGTGAAAAACCAAAACCACTCAGCAGAAGCGCGATCACATGACACAAACTGGTGGTAAACTACTTCCTAAAGGAAGATATTCTGTTGTTTTTCACATCAGATCAAAGTTGTTTTTGTACCTTGCCGTCATATTTGTCTCCAGTTTCTCTCAGCAGCAGACCAATTATCTTCTCCACCTCATCTAAAAAGGAACAGAAGACCCGATTATCAGCAGCAACAACACAAGACAGACAACATTTAAGGGATTAAAGGCGCACACTTTTATCTATATATATATGAAAAAACATATTGCAATTGCTGATTGCTTTAATAAGGCACCAACTTCAGCTGCCATGATTACAAAGACGGAAAAAAAATGTGTTGGGCATGTAAACAACGCTGAATCTAGACCCAGAACTTCGCAGTGCCTTCTATAAATGTCTGTCGTGTAAAACTAGTAAAACTTGTTTGGTGGCGTCTCGGCTATGAAAACATGAAGGGGTATTACTGGTGGGCACATTTTTTTTACTGAACCTGGAGAATCTGCTGCTGTTGGGGATCTTAAACTAAACTATTACAGCATTCATTTAGAACCGATTGTTCTCAGTGGGTAATCAGTTTCTACAAGCTAGAAAACGCTTTTCAGATTTTACTTTTCTACCAAATTAAGGTGGAAATGGACGCCTTATTAAAACACCATCTTTAAGTCATCCAATTACCCAAATATTGACTTAACTTCAGCTAAACTGGGCAAACTACAATGTGATGTGCAAACATTACACATGCATTACTCAGGGAACATCTGATCTGCCCTAGATGCATAAAGTGACCCAGCAGTCAGCCATCTGAACCCAGACGGGGCCCTTTTGTTTTGTGCTGCATGTTCCCCCTGTGCTTGATTTGTTTCCTCCAGGAACTCCTGTTTGTTCTGTTACCAGAGAACCTGCTGGGTTAGCGCTGCCCGTCTTGACCGAGTTCACAGAAGAATTTAACTTCCTTCTCCTAAGGCTGCATACCATGTTTCTGTTGGCTCTCTAACAGGCACCGCCTCAAATGTTTTACTATTCCTGGGTAATTCTTTGGTTTTTCCTGTGAGAGCGTTCACATGTGTATTCTGTGTCACTCATCAGGTTAGTTTTAATCCTTTTAAGAGATACAAATGAATCTTAAAAGAAGAAACTCACCATTTTCTGGGCAATCCGACTCTATATTTGGAGGAATTAATTGGATTTCATCAGCAAGCTCCATCAGTCTGCTCGCTACCTCACTCGCCTTCTCGTCCTCCTCCTCCTTTTCAGGCTCATCTGGAAAAATGGAACAAACATATCAAATCAGACCCTAAAAGGACGGTGTCACAGTAAGCGGTGGCTGATCGGCCGGGTAAAATATACGCCTGTATACGCTTGTGAAACAGGAAAAACGCAAGAAACCAATAAGTCTTATGGTTAAGTGAGTGATTCAGCCCAGTGGTCCTCAAATGTTTTCTGGCATATCCCAGTGACTTTACAAAGAAGCTCAAAACCTTTTAGGGAACTGCGATGACTCAAATAGTTGACTGACCTTATTTAACTGGGTGGAATATACAAGCACATTTACTGGGGTTAAAATGTCCCATTCATAAACTGATTTTGTTCATTGCTTTGCCACAAGAAAACCTGACTAACAAAAACATGTTAAAATTATTTCATAAGCTCTGTCTAACTTTTTGGCTCCGGCAGAAAAATCTGTCTATCAAAAACAAAAAAAGCAAGTTGAACTGAAATAAAGTAGAGCATTAAAGTATTGGGCAGCACTTTGCATACACTTAGCATAGTTCCACTTTCTGGTCGTCCATGCTTTTACATTTCGAGAACCTCGAGTTGGTCTTATCTGTAATTATGAGCGTTTATGAGAAACTAAAACCTGTCTTCAGGTCACCTGACTTTGCAGAATTCAAACTGGACTCAAACCAGTTTAAGCGTGAAACCAGCAGGATGTTCACCCGTCGCACTAAAAAGAAAAAAAAGGGCTGAGGTCCACAAAATTACCTTTGTAATATTTTTATGGCATGCTGTTGACAGTCGACTCAGACATTTTTTAAGACAAAAAGTTCTGCAACAAGTAAATATTTTCTGGTGTTTTTGTCCTCTCGCACTTATAAAAGAACACTTTTTGAGAGTTTAGGACTCTTAGTGTGACATCTTCGACCTGGTATTGACTTTCACCCATTTCTAAACAAAACAAGAGGATCTTCTTCATTTTACCCGCCTCTACAGCACAAAAACTTTCTTCCAGTTTCCATAAAAACTTATAACGTTGTCAGATTTTTCCTGTGAACCTTACACCAATGTCAATGCCCCTCCCTACAATAAAAATCATGACAGTGTTGATAAAGTTGTCAATGATTAAGTTCCAGTTGGAGCTGGTACTTTTCCTGCCTTACTGTTTCAATAAAAATCCAACATGTTTAAGATTACCTCGGGTTTTTATCACTCTGCTGATTTAAGACTAAAACGTGTAACCTGGAGTCTTTATCGGTGAGACAGTGCCGGATGTCAGTCTTCTAGTGTATTTCAGGCATCAGTTTCACAGTGAATGATTTTATTTGCATGTTATGATAGTGAACTAATATTTTATAAACAAAACTATGGTGCACATTAATCAGCGAGGCTAATTGTCGTGTTATCTAAGGCTACACCTTTATTCTCCTCACCTGTAGCAGGGAAACATCTGAATGAGACTTCATCAGCAGGCTCCATTGGTTTCTGCTGCTGCTCCTCCTCCTCCTCGTCTTCTTCATTCTTCGTCTGAGGCCTGGTGCAGCTGAAAATGCTCAAC